AGGCCTGAAACGTCAGCCTTCCTGCTCCTCTGATGCTGCTTGGCCTGAAGCGTTCATCCAGCTCTATACCTTGTTATCTCAGATTCTCCAGCATCTGCAGTTCCTACTATCAGGGAGAAGAGTGTGTTGTTTCTTTAAGAGATAACATGCTTTTCTAGTTATAGACATTTATACAGGGAAACAAAAGTGTCTGCATGTAGCTGAAGATGTACACCCACTTCAAAAATGGGAATATGTAACAATTGGCTGTGTGATTGGAAACCTTATGCTTGTTTTGATGTTTTGGCAATGAGCTGGAATCAGCCAGTTCATTTAAACCAAGCACTTAGCAAATGAAAGCCAATTGAATCTAAATCTAATGGTTTTGACAATCTCGGAGCAATGTACTTGTAAGACAATTGATATGTTATCCAAGGTATATAAGGAGAGGGTTTTTGAAAATCAGTATGAGATTGAACTGCCATCTGAGAAATAAGCACCCAGCTCACAAAAGAAATTGCTTAACTCTCTAAGAAAGCACCATCTTATCTATAAAAGGTACCACGACACTTCTAGATAAGAGCCTTTACAGAGAAAACATCCCTGACAGCAGGATCAGCGGAAGAAAGGAGTTTGTGGCTTGAGAGAAAGTGGAGAAGACAGAATATTTTGCAAGACACATTCTATGCGGACTTTGAGAGACTAAGTTTTAATTTATTTTTTCTTCTTACTATTTGGGTTATATAAGTGGGAACTGTTTTTATTGGAAGAGCATACCAGTAGAATTTTGTTCAGTGAGGAAACAGTTAGAAGTTGGGGGGGAATTGTTCAGGTTGTTAGTAGTTCTGTTAACTTGTTCACTGTTAAGGTTAAATAAATAAATTGTTACTTGTTACTTATAAAGTGAATATTAGGGATTTTCTTTCAGTTAACCTCCGCTTCTCTGTAACAGTTTAACAAATTAGGTGAGGTGAGGCAAGCTCCTCTGTGTGTTTCAGGTTTAATTATTAGAAGGGGACCTCTACTTCCGCCATAACAGATTGTGGGGTTTGTGTTTCAATTTTAATTATCAGAGGGGTTCAACCTCCCCTTTTCTAACAATCCACAATTCCATTTGGGAGGGCATTTCAGGATTCTGACCCAGTGACACTGAAAAATGTCGATCTTTTTCCAAGTCAAGATGGTGAGTGGCTTGGAGGGGAACTTTATGTGGCGATCCCATGTATCTGCTGTGCTTGTTTTTCTCGATGGAAGTGGTCGTGGGTTTGGAAGACACTGTGTAAGGATCTTTGGTGAATTTCTGTGGTGCATCTTGTAGACGGTACATACCTGCTGCTATTGAGTGTCAGCGGTGGAAAAGTGAACGTTGAAGGTGTTTGGGAAGGTGTTGTATGAGGAACTTTGGTGCTTTGTTACAGTGCAGTCAAAGTGACCCTGTGAGCAAGGTATTCATTCCCCAAATGCCAATTAAACAGAGTATCCTAATGAAGGCCTTAATCAAAGGAGATAGCCAGGGAACTCACATGCAGTAAAAGTTGACTCTTGTTAGTGTTTGTATAATTTTGACAATCCTTATCAATGCCAGAGGCAAAACTAACGATGGAACAATAGGAATAATCAGTCATTGCTGCATTTTGTTCTTCATTGTTGCTCATACCCTAAAATATAAGGAGAAACAATTTAAATATCAATTTAAGAAACATGCTGTAAAGTTTAAGAATTTTGTTTCTACTTTTCCTGATATGAAGTTTCAAAATCATCAGAAGTCTCGAGAATAGATAGGGGGAAACCTTATACTCTCCTGAAAGGATCAAGGACAAGAGGGTATGGCTTTCAAGTGATTTGCAACAGAAGCAATTGTAACGTGAGTGGTTCAAGTTTAGAGAGCGCTGCCTGGAAATGTACTGCAGATAGTATCACTTGAGGGATTCAAGAGGATGTCAGCAATGACACAAGGTTGTTATTCTCAGTTGGAGAGCAAGCATGATGGGCTGAATGGTCCCCTTCTGCATCAGAACACTCTACTATTCTGTAACACCCTCAGTAAATGTGGACAAGGCAAATTGGGTTCTCTTTTCGAGATGCAAAATACCCAGCTCATTCAATCTTTCCCCACAATTACACAGTCTCAGCTCTGTTGTCTTCCTTAAAAATATTTTCCTGACTTTCCCCAGTGGATCTCTATCCTTGTTTATAGGTCAGAGAAGGTTGCTTACGTAGGGAGTTCCATGTTTTTGTCGAAAGGAACAGATCAGGATTAAATCGTGACAACATGGAATTGAAATTTCTTTCACACACCGACTTTGGGACAGACGACTCTTTGGGATACTGCATTGAGTGTTCCCAAGGCTGAGATAGATTAGAATCTAAGGGAAGAAAGGATGCAGGACCAAGTGGGAATAGACAATGATCGGAAGAACAGCCATGACTGTATTGAATGGTGGGATAGGTTGGAGGGACCGAATGGCCTGTGCCTATTCCTGTTTCTTAAATGTGTATGGTCGATGCAGAAGGGGAAGAGTATCTCAAAACCTAAAAGACTCCAGACAAAGTTCAGCCCCCATCAAGGGCTTGGGAGAGACACATACTCAAGGAATAGGGTCATTGCATGAGGAAGGAGGTTGGGAAGTCTCTGTTTCATTGTGCTGCACTGAAGAAGTGGATGTGCCAAATTTCTTGACCAGGGAGGCACCCTGTGTCAAGGGATGGAAGTGCAAGTTGGGTGGGCATTCAGAAAAATGGAGTGGAGCTGGATGTCTTGCTGGAGTTTGGGACTACACTTGATAAGGCATCCTCACTAAGGTTCCACAAAGATTAGATTAGAGCTGTAGATTAAATAAATCAAAGATCTGGAACAGTGCCTGATGAGCAAACCTCCAGCTCAAAGACACACAGGTCAATATGCGATGGACACGGCACGGTCAAATATTTTATCAAGCATGGCCCATCAATTAAGCCTAGGAACAATTAAAACTCCAATCCATATCCTTTTACCAATTGAAAGATTGCAAAAGCTGTATCATAGAATCCCTACAGTGTGGAAACAGGCCCTTTGGCCCAACTAGTCCACACTGACCCTCAGAGCATCCCACCCAGATCCATCCCCCTATAACCCACCTAATCTACACATCCCTGAACACTATGTGGCCATTTAGCTTGGCCAACCCACCCTAATCTGCACATCTTTGGACTGTGGGAGGAAACCGGAGCACCTGGAGGAAATCCACGCAGACACGGGGAGAATGTGCAAACTCCACACAGACAGTCGCCCGAGGGTGGAATTGAACCCAGCTCCCCGGTGTTGTGAGGCAGCAGTGCTGACCACTGTTCCCCCCGCCGAGTATAAAGGAACAATGACTGCAAGATTACCCTTTTACAATGTCTGGTTTGTAAATTTATCCACATTTAGAAGAAAACTACATTAAAAGAAATTGTCTCAAAATATTCCCAATGAATCTTGTGTCTTACTTCCTTACCTGCTAATCCTTCTTGTGTGGGTTCTCTGAGTGCATCTGTACTGTTCCCTGACCTGCTGTAATTTGGCTTTCTACCTGATGTTCTGGTTAGATTGTAACATTCACAATTTCCTCCTGGTTTAGTTGGGTAGACGATTGTTCCGAATACCCAGAGCTCACCTCCGAATGTGGAGAATCGAGTCCCACTCCAGACACTCGACCCAATAACACTGCCACCACAGTACTGAGGGAGTGCTACTCTATTGGAGCTGCTGACATACAGATGAGTAAACCCTCACCTGGCTTCTCAGGTGAATTGAGAACATCTTGCAAGACTATTTACAAGAACAGGGAAGTTAGTCCAGCATCATGGCCCATATTTAGCCCTCAGTCAACATTATGGAAATGATGATCATGGAAGTTATGAAATATATCGCCGTTCCTTCAGTGTCGCTGGGTCAAAATCCTGGAATTCCCTCCCTAAGGGTATTATGGGTCCACCCACAGCACATGGACTGTAGCGGTTCGAGGAGGCAGCTCACCATCACCTTCTCAAGGGGCAACTAGGGACGGGCAATAAATGCTGGGCCCAGCCAGCGATGCCCAGATCCCATGAGTGAATTGACTCATTTATCTCATTATATTTGTGGACTGAGTATGCAAACAAATTAAAGAGATGGTAGCATGTTGGATATTTCACTGAACTGGTAACAACATAAAGGCCTAGCTGATGCCTTGTGACCAAGGGTTAAAATCCCAGGTGGCATTATTTTTCAACGAATTAAACAAATAAATTGAAAGCTAGTCTCTGTAATGTTGACTGTGACAACTCTGATTGAGTGGTGCAGATATGAGAGAAAAAAATTCATTCACTAATGTCCTTTAGGGAAGGAAATCTGCCATCCTTACAGATTTGGGGCAGCACGGTGGCTCAGTGGTTAACACTGCTGCCTCCCAGCACCAGGGACCCAGTTTCAATTCCACCCTCGGGTGACTGTCTGTGTGGAGTTTGCACATTCTCCCCGTGTCTGCGTGGGTTTCCTCCGGGTGCTCCGGTTTCCTCCCACAGTCCAAAGATGTGCAGGTTAGGGTGGGTTGGCCATGCTAAATTGCCCCATGATGTGCAGGCTAGGTATGTTAGCCTTGGTAAATGTAAAGTTATGGGGTGGGTATGGGTGGGATGGTCTGTGTGTACTCAATAGGGCGAATGGATTGCTTCCACTCTGTAGGGAGTCTATGATTTTATGACTGGTCTTTATTAAGTTGCGCAAGTTGAATTTGGATATAATGAGAGGCAATTGTTAGTCTTTTGTAATCCCAGGGTTCTTAGGATGGAGTATAATTGCAATCTTTGAATCCCTATTGTGCAGATAGAGGCCATTTGGCCCATTGGGTCTGCACAACCCTCCGAAGAGAATTGTAACTTATCCCTGTGATCCGACATTTCCCATGACTATCCCACCTTGCCTGCACATCCCTGTACACTATGGGCAATCTAGCATGGCCAGTCCACCCTAACCTGCACATCTTTGGACAGGTGTGAGTTTGGTAATTGTAATCATTCGACAATATCTGTGTATAAGCATCTTTAACAAGAAAAAGGGACAGACTCAGAGGTGATGCTACCACAGTCAAATAGCTGAAGCTGCATATGGATGTGATAAATAAATAGAAACATAAACACGTAGAAAGTAGGAGCAAGAGTAGGCTGTTTGTCCTATCAAGCCTGTTCTCCCAGTTTGCATAATCATGGCCAATTCTCCATCTGAATGCCATACTCCTGTTCTCTGCCCAGGCCCAAAAGCACCTTTGACCTCCAGAAATCTACCTACTTCTCGTTTCAATATGCTCAGTAGCTTGACCTCCACTGTGCTAGGTAGTACAGAATTCCAAAGGTACACCACCTTCTGAGTGAAGAGATTTCTCTTCATCTCAGTCGTAAACTGGTCTTGCCTTTATCCCGAGACCACAATCCCTTGTCCTGGGCTTTCCCTGGCCCTGGGAGAACATCATCCCAATATCTGGCCCAGCCCTCTCTGGGATTTGTCCAATTTCCTGAGGTCAAATGGTTAGTCGAATGTTGGTCATGACGCCAATGCAAGGCAGTCTCCAGTTGAGGATGCAATAAAACAAGAAGAAATGGAGGCAGAATCGATCATAAATATGTCTTTGGCCTACCTTTTCACACTCTTCAGATTTAATATTTTTCTGTTTTAAGGGGCAAGATAGGTCTGAAAACAAAACAGAAGTCAGCATTAGATAAGCTGGGCTTTATTCCACAGGCTTCTCCAAAGCAATGAAGATAAATTTGAGAGGCAGAGATAATATCACTGTGTGAATAATTCATCAACCACAGGCTAGTGTTCTGGAGATATTCCATGAGAATTTGGAATTCATGGTGCCTCTGGGATGAATCATACATTGTTCTGGCTTTAATGCAGGTTGCGTGGGAAGGGTTTTCGCTAGGAGGCTGAGCACTTTCCCAAACGCACCGTGTTAATTACCCACCATCACCCCACTCCCCTCCCATGATGTCACTCATGTTCAATCCCAGCCCCGTCTTACCATACGCCATCCCTGGAATAATTTGACGGGTATCTGCCACTTTTAAAAGGCACCCAGGCATTCCAAAGGTGCCCTGCCCATTGACAGACAGAATCTCCACATGTTGGAAAAGGGGATGACTGCATCGTGGTCCTCTGAGTGGATCAGAGAAGGGTCAGCACGACTGGGACAGGCTCACTGATGTCGGATAAGGTCAGGTATGACACCTAATACTATTAGGTACGAGCCCATGGTGTTGGAGGTGGCATGAATGGAGGATTGGCTAACAAATTGATAACAGAGTTGGGATAAAGGTGGAGGCAGTGACCTATCGCTGGACTGTTAATCAAGAGGCCCGTGTAATGTTCTGGGGCCCTGGGTTAGAATCCCTTCACAGCAGCTGGTTGAATTTGAATTTGATGAAAATCTGGAATTAAGAGCCTTAAGGTGACCCTGAATCCATTGTTGATTGTTGGAAAAACCTATCTGGTTCACTAATGTCCTTTAGGGAAGGAAATTGCCATCCTTACCTGGTCTGGCCTACATGTGACTCCAGACCCGCAGCAATGTGGTTGACCTCAGGACAATAAATGTTGGCCTGGTCAATGACACCCACATCCCGTGAATGAATTAAAAAAATATATAAAGGGTGTATTTACAGGAAGGTAACCTTTAACTGCAAGGATCAAAGCCGGGACTATAATTATTTACAATGTGCATTAATGACTTTAATGATCGACGTGAATGTACAATAACCTCGAGGACACAAAAATAGGTGGGAAGACGATGATGAGGATGAACGAAGGGCTGACAGAGGGTTAAGTGAATCTGCAAAAACCTACCAGTGGGAAAATGTAATGGTAGGTCCTTTGCAATGAAGAATAAAAGCCAAAATCCTAAACAGAGAAAGACTGCAGAAAGCTGCATCACAGAGGGACTTGGAGAATCACAAGCAAAAACTGCAAAATGTTAGCAACAAGTTCGCAGGTAGTCGGGAAGGAAAATGAATTGTTCTGGCCTTTATTTTGAAGGGAATGGACCACAAGAATAGGGAGGTCTTGCTAAAACTATTCAAGGCATTAGTGACACCACCAGCTGGAATACCATGAGCAGTAATGGGTCTCTTTATCAAAGGATAACTGGGCTGGCAATAGAGGCATGCCAGAGAAGCTGATCCCAGGTATGGAGGGATTTTTGAATGAGGAGAGGTTGGGTAGTTTGGGCTTGTACTCATTGGAGATGCAGTGATGTTATTTCTGCCTGTGGGATAGACCAGGAGCAGAGGGCATTGTCTTGGAGAAAGGAGTCACACATTTACAGCAGAAATGAGAAGGAATTTCTTCTCTCAGAGGGTAGTGAAGCTGTGGAATTCATTACCGCAGAGGGCTGTCCAGGCCGGGTCATTAAGGCTTAGATAGATGGATTTTTAATCAGGAAGGGAATCGAGGGTTATGGGGAAAAGGCAGGAAAATGGGATTGAGGATTGTCAAATCAGCAATGATCTCATTGAATGGTGGAGCAGACTTGATGGACTGAATGGCCCACCTTTGCTCTACAATCATATAGTCTTATACATCGGCTGTGGCACTGACCCCGACAGAAAGGCAGGACATCGGCATAGTCTGCTCAGGATTCATGACGCATCTTTGTTGCTCCCACCCAAGAGATTGGGGTTCAACAAAGACTGATTGAGGAGAAGTCAAGTTCAAGAACAGTCTTTGGGTTTGGGCTTCTTTATTACGCTGATGATTGCGTATGTATCTACGTATATAGAACAGTGCCAGTGGAGCTGCAGCTTAGAAGGTGGTCCTGAGGATGCTACAGAGTCACCGCCACTTCCCTAGATGTATCACCGTATTCCGGCTAATCTGTCGAGCAGACTGTCAGAGTGCTATGGTGTGCTCAGAGTAGTGTCCTAGGCCCAACCACCTTCAGCTTCTTCACCAATGACCTTCCCTCCATCATAAGATCAAAAGCGGGGATGTTCGCCGATGACTGCACAATGTTCAGCACCATTCGCGACTCCTCAGATACTGAAAGCAATCCGTGCTCAAATGCAATAGACAGCCTTGGGTTGAAAACCAATAAGTGACTTTCATGCCACACAACGCCAGGCAATGACCGTCTCTAATGAGAGACTGCCCCTTGACATTTACTGATGTTAGCATCACTGAATTCCAAACCCACCCCCATTAACCACATCCTGGGGGTTACCATTGACCAGAGAATGAACCAGACTCCCCACATAAACACAGAGGCTAGGAATCCTACAGTGACTAACTCACCTCCTGACTCCACAAAGTCTGTCCACCATCTACAAGGCAAGTTCTCCCCGTGTCTGCGTGGGTTTCCTCCGGGTGCTCCGCTTTCCTCCCACAGTCCAAAGATGTGCAGTTTAGGTGGATTGGCCATGCTAAACTACCCCATAGTGTTCAGAGATGTGTAGATTAGGTGGGTTGTAGGGGGATGAGTCTGGTGGGATGCTCTGAGGGTTGGTGTGGACTTGTTGGCCCGAAGGGCCTGTTTTCATGCTGTGGGGATTCTATGAATGAATTCTAAAAAAGTTGGGAGTGTGATGGAATACTCCCCACTTGCCTGGATGGGTGCAGCTCCAATAACACTTAAGAAGCTTGACACCGTCCAGGACAAAGCAACCCTTTTCACTGGCACCACATCCACAAGCATCCACTCCCTCTACCACCAACTGTCAGTAGCAGTATCATCTACAAGATGCACTGCTGAAGACTGACAAGGCTCCTTAGGCATCACCTTCCAAACCCATGACCACCCTCACCCCCCCCACCAGCCCCCCTCATCTGGAAGGACAACAGAAGCAGATAAATGGGAACACCCCCACCAGTTGTAAGTTCCCCTCCATCCTGACTTTTATTAAAAATTGTGCAAGGCGCCTTTTCCCTCGAATTTTGACACCCCTCTTCTTCAGGCGTATGAATCCCCACTCAATACAACAGTGATGAACAGGTGAAAAACAATCCATTACCTATGCATGGTTTCTGGTTCGTCGTGCTTTTCCTTCCGTTACAGATGCAGACGTAAGAATTTGGCTTCAATCGACATATACCAGTTTCACCACAAATATTTTTCTCAGCACAGTAATCTGCAAGTGTTAAGCATAAAATGAGACGTGTAATCAACATGCATGTAGTTAACAAGCTTCCCACATACCGGCACAGGGAGCAATTTTCCGCTTATAACCACCCTAAACTCTCTAGCTCTGATGGTTTTCTTGCTTCATGTCTGGGTCTGTTTGAGACTCATGGATAAAGACTGATTAGTTGGAATCCCATTACCACTGTATGGTGTGATTGTTGAGATCAGAGAGAGGACACACCAGAATCACTGACAGGGAATGAGCCCAAGTTGAGGCCACACAGTAGCTCAGTGGTCAGCATTGCTACCTCCCAGCGCAAGGGACCCGGGTTCGATTCCATCCTCTTGGTCCCTTTATCAAAGGGTAGCTCAATTGCCAATAGAGGCAGCCCAGAGAAGCTGATCCCAGGTATGGAGGGATTTTTGAATGAGCAGAAGTTGAGTGGTTTGCGCCTGTACTGAGTGGAAATGCAGAAACGTTGTTTCTCCTTGTGGACTAGACCAGCAGCAGAGGGCATTGTCTCAGGGAAAGGAGACGCACATTTACAACAGAGGTGCGGAGTTTGTACGTTCTCCCCGTGTCTGCATGGGTTTCCTCCAGGTGCTCCGGTTTCCTCCCACAGTCCAAACATGCACGGGTTAGGGTGAATTGGCCATGCTAAGTTGCCTGTGGTGTGCAGGCTAGATAGATTAGCCAGGGGAAGTGCAGGCTTACAGGCATGGGATGGGTCTGGGTGGGATGCTCTTTGTAGGGTCAGTGTGGACTCAATGGGCCAAACGACCTGCTTCCACGGTGTAGGGATTCTATGATAACAAACCTATGATTTGCATCTGAAAGCTAATGCAGCCGAGATAAAGCTGAATCAGGTATCAGGCACAGTCCATCTATATCTTATTCGGCTGCATGTTGGCTAAAGTCCAAAAAGTGATCATTATCATCATAGCTTAGGGCAGAGGGATCTGGGGGTACCTGTTCACAGATCCCTGAAGGTGCCAGCTCAGGATAATAAGGTGGTTAAGAAGGCATTTTGGAAACTTACCTTTATCAGTAGATGTATAGATTATAAGAGCAGGGAGGTTGTGTTGGAGTTGTACAGGATTTTGGTGAGGCTACAGCTGGAGTACTGTGTGTGGTTCCAGTGCCCACACTATAGGAAGGATGTGATTGCACTGGAGGGGGTGCAGAGGAGATTCGCCAGGATGTTGCCTGGGACGGAGTGTTTCAGTGATGAAGAGAGGCTGGATAAGCTCAGATTGATTTCTTTGGAGCAGAGGAGGTTAGGGTGGGGGACCTGAAGAGGTGTCTAAGATGAGGGGCATGGACAGGGTAGGATAGGAAGCAGAGATAGTAGGAACTGCAGATGCTGGAGAATCCAAGACAACAAGGTGCAGAGCTGGATGAACACAGCAGGCCAAGCAGCATCATAGGGAGGCTGACGTTTCGGGATAGGAAGCAGCTGTTTCCCCTTAGTTACAGGGATGATAACAAGGGGGTCATAATATTAAAGTGAAAGGCATGAAGTATGGAAGGATTTTGCAGAAAATCCTTTTTACCCAGAGGATGGTGGTGACCATAGAATCATACAACATGTAAACAGACCCTTCGGTCCAACAAGTCCATGCCGACCATGTTCCTGAACTAAACTAGTCCCATCTGCCTGTTCCTGGACCATATCCCTCCAAACCTTTCCTATTCATGTACTTATCCAAATGTCTTTTAAACGTAACTGTACCTACATCTATCACTTCCTCTGGAAGTTCGTTCCAAACACAAACTGCTCTCTGTAAAAAAAAAGTTGCCCATCATGTCTTTTTTAAATCTTTCTTTTCTCAACTTAAAAAATGTCCTCTAGTCTTGAAATGCCCAGTCTAGAACAGATTGCCTGGGAACATTAGTGGGAAACCTCACAACCTTTTAAAAAGTTAAAAACTTGAAAGGGTTCAGAAAAGATTTACAAGGATGTTGCCAGGGTTGGAGGGTTTGAGCTATAGGGAGAGGCTGAATAGGCTGGGACTATTTTCCCTGGAGCATCGGAGGCTGAGGGGTGACCTTATAGAGATTTATAAAATCATGAGGGGCATGGATAGGGTGAATAGCCAAGGTCTTTTCCCAGGGTAGGGGGTGGGAGTCCAAAACTAGAGGGCATAGGTTTAAGGTGAGAGGACAAAGATTTAAAAGGGACCTAAGGGACAACTTTTTCACACAGAGGGTGGTGCGTGTATGGAATGAGCTGCCAGAGGAAGTGGTGGAGGCTGGTACAATTACAACATTTAAAAGGCATCTGGATGGGTATATGAATAGAAAGGGTTTAGAGGAATATGGGCCAAATGTTGGCAAATAAGACTAAATTAATCTAGGATATCTGGTCGGTATGAACGAGTTGGACCAAAGGGTCTGTTTCCGTGCTGTATGACTCCATTACTCTATGACTCTAAGCACTTGGATGAGCACTTGAATTGTCATAACATTTAAGGTTATGGGCCAAGTGCGGGAAAGTGGGCCTAATGCAGATAGGTTGGCACAGGCTTGATGGGCCGCAAGGCCTTGTCTGCCTTGTGTGGCTCGACTTTCTCATGGTTTTTGAGTGCAATCAATTGGTTTAAACTGATTCTTGGCGAGGCACCTTAAACAGATGCCTCTTAACTTTGATTGGGTGAGTTTTTACATTGGTGGAAATGAGCTACAGGAAGGTATGGGGCAAATTGTTTTCCCTTTCTCAGTGAGGTATTCTGCGGCATTGCACAAGGTGAAATATCCTGTGTTGCAACAACAGGAAGGTGACACTGTGTAATGCTGTTACTGATCTGGAGTGTTTCTGCACAAACTGTGCAAACAACCAGGCTTCAGCAGTGATAAGAAACACTGAGGGTGTGAGTCACACAGGGTTAGTGGTTGTGAGGGCGTTTACGCGCTGCAGTTGCGCAACACAAGCTGAGAACCACACATCAAGGAACTGGGTGGGATCACTCGAACTCCACGCTGAATTCATTTGAAGTTAATGTGACAATTTCTCCTTTTGTCGCCATTTCCTTAGCCCCGGCAGTGCCAACTGTCTACCTAATGTAGCATCATCACGTTTTGGAAACGCATTGGACTGAGTGCAGGAGCAATTTACAAGTAACGTCCTAGTGATGAGGATGAAATGAAGAACCTGCGACTGTTCTCCTTGGAGAGAAGAGGAAATTAGATAGAGATTTTCAAAGCCGTAAGTGGGCTGGAAAGAATTGATAGGGAAATGCTTCGCTTTCATACTTGTTGAAAGGAACAGGAATGAGAGAGGGCACAGATTTAAAGCGATGTGCAAAAATAACAAGGGTAACATTTCCGCACTGTGAGTGGTGAGGGTGTGGAATGCACTATGTACGAATGTGGTTGAGGCAGATTCTAAATATCAATCGTAGACTTTACTATATAAAAAAAAATTCCCAGTCATAAAATCCCATTCAAAACCTCTTTATCTCTTGAAGGGCTTAATCACAAATAAGAATAAGCAAATCTCTATCCAAAACCTTATATCAAACACAGCTAATTTATAATAATCTATTTAGACTGTAGTTCAAGCTGTGTATTTAAGATACCTGTTATAATAGTTATAGCTTGTGAAATGCAGCTGTGATTTCGTAATGAAACAATGATAGCCCTTAAGAAATGTCAACAAACAGCAATTGCAACTGCGAGAACAGAGATTCTTTTTAAAACTCTCACTGACACAAGCAGTCTATTTTTTAAAAAAATGTTTTAAAGGGCAGGGGATTTATGTAACTTCACATCATGATGGTTGCGCTGATCTTCAGTGGCTGAAAAGTTTGCGACTTCCACATTGAGTTTTCAGGGCCAAGCTACAGTGAGGCTGGAGGGGTTCTGTTTGAACTTGAAAGCTATCCCCTGAGCACCAGATTTCTCTCTCCATTAATCATACCCTGACTCCCTTATCATCGTCAGAAAGGGGGTTGGAATTTCAACACATTAGGCATTCACCATTTATAAAGGACTCCAGAGAATCCTCAAAATTCTGGGAGTATCATAATGTCATACAACACGGAAACAGACCCTTCAGTCCATCCATCCAGGCAAGTGGGGAGTATCCATCACACTCCTGACTTCTGCCTTGTGGATGGTGGACAGGGCTTTAGGAGTCGGGAGCTGAGTTACTTGCTGCAGGATTCCAAGCCTCTGACCTGCTCTTGTAGCCACTGTGTTTATATTGTGAGTCCAGTTCACTTTCTGGTCAATGGTAACCCCATAGATATGATTAGTGTTGGATTCAGTAATGGTAACACCATTGAATATCAGGGGGCAATGATTCAATTGTCTCTTGTTCGATGTTGTCATTGCTCATTACTTGGCATGAATGTTATTTCCCAATGATCCCACCCCAACCCTGGATGCTCAGTAGATGTGAAGGAACTGTTTCATGAGGAGAAGTGATGAGAGTCGATGGACACAGATTTACATTAATTGGCAAAAGAAACAGGGGGGAACTGAGGAGAAATGTTTTTTTTTAACACAGTGAGATATGTTGTCTGTAATGGAGGTAGAAATGGATTTCATTAATACTTTCAGAAGGACAGCAAATATGTACTCGGAAAGGAAACATCCTCAGGGCTATGGGAAGAACAGAGGCATGGGAGATGTAAGACAAAGGACTGGCACAGGTCATAGGGGCCAAATGGCCTCATCTTCTGCTGTAGGATTGTACAATCCTATCACAATATGTTGGGCTCCACAGGTTGTAGTATTTTCCACACAGTATAAGCACAATGTATGGGATATTTTGCTCGGTTGGTCGAGTGACTGGTGTATAATTTGGATTGAGAAGCCAACAACAGGGGTTTGATCCCTGTGCCAGCTGAATAGTGGAGACTGTTTCTTTGACAGGTCCCTGCAAGGGGGAGGTAAGGATTAAACCAACAGTGACAGATATCTGACATGCAAACTGCTCTTGGTGAGCCAGTGGACAATGATCTAAAGCCTTGCGTTTGGGCAAACCACTTGTGAATGAACAAATATAACATGATAACATAAACAGAAGTCACTTTATATTTTACAAAGCTGACATGATAAGGATTCCGTATATCTTCTTAGACTTTAAGAACTTCACCTTTGCAAGTAGGCTTCATTTAAATTCCATTCGGAATTAAAATTTTCTATCCCTTTTGTATCATATGGGAATGTTATGTTATAACAGTAATACCTTGTTTTTTTAATCAATAGTTAGTTGTTAGCTACTTACCAATGCTCGTGTAAATTTTCTGCCCATTTGTATATCCATTGGAATAGACTTGGGAAAAGTTCCAAATGATACAAATACTTAAAACTGGCAATGGATGAGGGGAAGGGGAAGGAAGAGAATCGAACATTAGACATCATCAGTTTAATAACAGTTGCATTTTGGCTTCAATTCCAGACCATACAGATCTGTACCTTTAAGACCATTGCATGACATCATGAGATGTGACTTCTTGACATGAAAAGTCAGAAGTCACAGGACACCAGGTTATGGTCCTACAGGTTGATTTGAAATCACAAGCTTTCAGAGCACTGCTCCTTCGTTGCCTGATACTGATTTTGTGTTATAAGTAAATAAATTGATTTGATACATTTTATCTTAATTTATTTTGTTCAATAAACGAATGTTTTATTATTAAAGCTAAACCTGCAGCATTGCACAGTTTCATCTCAGTGAGGGACCACCTCATCAAAACCAAGCCAAAACTAAACATGATTCATCAAGCCAGATTTCAAAGTGTCTGTCCAAATCCCGCTGGTTAAAAATTCACTTCATTTTTGACTGTCTCTGTGGTCAATTCTGTGCCAAATCTACTTGAGTCGAAATTGCTTTTGGACTTTGCCAAAGGATATAGTCCAACACTAGGGAGCAAGTCTAAAACTCAGATGGAGATTTCCCACTCTTTCACCTGCAATTGAATCATTTAACAGCACCAGGTTTGCCAGTCTCCGTTTTGGAATATGAGTTTGGAAACCATTCTGACTCCTGTCAGCTTCCGTCATATCTCCTGCAACACACTTCCCTCTGCCAAAAATTGTCATGAAGTCATTGAACCCATTTCATCAGATCCCTACAGTATAGAAGCAGGCCTTTTAGCCCCTCAAATGCACACTGACCCATGGAAGAGCATCCCACCCAGATCCATCCCCTTACACGGTAGCCCATTGCTAACCTGCACACATCACTCACCCACATAGCCTACACTTTCCTGGACACTATGGGACAATTTAGCATGGCCAATCCACCTAACTTACACACCTTTGGACTGTGGGAGGAAACCGGAGCACCCAGAGGAAACCCATGCAGACACAGGGAGAACATGCAAACTCCACACAGACAGTTGACTGAGGCTGGGGATTGAATCTGGGTCCCTGGTGCTGTGAGGCAGCAGTGCTAACCACTGAGCCACTGTGCCACCATATCTATAGCATTGATTCAAATGCCAACCTCATTCAGCTCATTTCACATTTTGCGAAAAATTCCACTGTTGTCTGTTTTCATTTTTAACTTCCTCATTTCCAAATGATATCTGACCAGAGTCAACAGTCAGCCTTACCCAGGTTTGATGGAATCACTTCAGAATCAGGTTTTGGGTTGGCATGATGGCTCAGTGGTTAGCACTGCTGCCTCATAGCACCAGAGACCCAGATTCAATTCCACCCTCAGGCAACTGTCTGTGTGGAGTTTGCACATTCTCCCCGTGTCTGCGTGGGTATCCTCTGGGTGATCTAGTATCCTCCCACAGTCCAAAGATGTGCAAGTTAGGTGGATTGGCCAGGCTAAATTGCCTGTAGTGTTCAGGGGTGTGTAGATTAGGTGTGTTATAAGGGGTTGGGTCTGGGTAGGATGCTCTGAGGGTTGGTGTGGACTTGCTGGGCTGAAGGGCCTGTTTCCACACTGTAGGGATTCTATGATCTAATCCTACCAGGTTTGATTATCTCAAATTAATCTGCCTACTTTTTCCCAAATTTACTCAAGCTTCCTCGTTGCAACACACCTTCTCAAGAAATCAATACAACCTCTGGAGCTGACGGCATTTAACAACAAGCCAGGGCTCACTGGTGGCTCCAAAACAATACAGCACCAAAGCCAGATGGTTCTGTCTCCATGTCATAAACTGGGTGATGTGAACACTGTTGGGGGTTTGTCCTGGTTCATTTACACCTGTTTTTCTAAACTTCATATCAAGATCCTGCCTCTGGTACTGCAGCTAAATGTCCTGAACCTTAATTGGTATCTGAAATTCATCCATTCCACCATTCTCGGTTCCTTCATCCACAGTGGGGGTGATCTGAGCAGCTTAGAGAAGAAATAAAACCCAAGCACCTTACTTTCCATTTCCTTCATGACTGTTTAATGCTGACTCTACATTTTGAACGAGGTAGACAACAGAGAAAGTTTTCTCCAATCTAAAATCTCCTTTCCCACTGAAATGTTGGCCATCAGTAGGTCCTTCTTATAGAGTCATAGAGTAACACAGCACAGAAACAGACCATTCGATCCAACTCATCCATGCCGACCAAATATCCAAAATTATCTAGTCCCATTCACACGCATTTGGCTCATATCCCTCTAAGTCCTCCCTATTCATATGCCCATCCAGATGCCTTTTAAATGTTGTAATTGTACCAGCCTCCACCACTTCCTCTGGCAGCTCATTCCATACACGCACCACCCTCTGTGTGAAAAAGTTGCCCCTTAGGTCCCTTTTAAATCTTTCCCCTCTCACCTTAAACGTATACCCTCTAGTTTTGGACTCCCGTACCCTGGGAATAAAAAACCTTGGCTATTCATCCTGTCCATGCCCCTCATGATTTTATAAACCTCGATAAGGTTCAGCCTCTCCCTACAGCTCAAACACTCCAGTCCTGGCAACATTGTTGTAAATCTTTTCTGAACCTTTTCAAGTCTAACAACATCTTTCTTATAGCAGGGAGGCCAGAACTGAATGCAGTATTCCAAAAGTGACCTCATCAATGTCCTGTAAAGCATAGCATGACATCCCAGCTCCTACACTAAATGCACTGACCAATGAAGGCAAGTGGACCAAACGCCTTCTTCACCACCCTGTCTATCAACGACTCCACTTCCTTACCAGAGAGTTAAGTTTTAGAGTAGAGAACGGTTCACCTTTCTCCAAGTAGTCTTGGCAGCTACCTCCTAACCCTTTATAGTAGTTCTGTACCTGCTCTGCAACACAGATTCAAACTGGCCCTTAGCTCTGATCTTTAAATTCCTTTTTGCCTGCTGAATCCTGGAATATAACAACGCCTTGTAAACCCATGCTCAGCAGGTCCACAATTCTATGTTTGAGATTTGCGAATCAACATTGAAGTGGCCCTGACCAAAGTAATTACATTCCAAAACAAATGACATTTACTTTGGAAGAATAATTAGACTGGACGTGAAACGTTAATTCTGTTTCTCTCTCCACAGATGCTGCCAGACCTGCTGAGTTTCTCCTATATTGTCTGCTGTTATCACAAATTATAGCCCCTGTGCCTGTGACCATGTTAATCTATCCCTCCTCATCCTTGCAACCTATCTGTAGCTTTTGATGATGTAGACTGCACCATCATGCTTCATCCCTCTCCACTGTGCTTCAGGAGCATTCCTTTTCTTGTCTCTAGCCCTGCCTTTCTAATTTTGGTCAGAAGATCTCCTGCAATGGCTTCCCTTCATCACGATGCATCATTACTTCCGGTATCCCGAAGGACCAATTCTGAACTGCCCCCTATCTCTCAGCAATATGATGTCCCCCCTGGCCAAAACATCAACAAACAGATTGGGTTTTACATTTCCTCTGGTAGCACCTAACTCGACCTCAGCATCCACGACTCTCTGTCTCCCCTCACTTCTCTCTCTTTTCCCCTACCTCCCTCTCCCTCCCCCTACCTCTGTCTCCCTTCCCCACCTCCCTCGCCCTCCTACATCTCCGTCTCTCTCCCTCATCTCCCTCTCCCTCCCCCATCTCCCTTTCCCTCCTCCCACATCTCTCCCTTCCTTCCCAACCTCTCTCTCTCCCAACTCTTCCACTGCTGCTGGGTGCGATTTAATTTTGATTTATTTGCTGTCACGTTTATTTTAGTGAAAAATGTTGAACAGCATCGCCACTCTCCAGCACCAACTTAAAACACAGAAAAATAAACCAAGACATAGAATATAAAGACAGAAGAATGAAGAAATGAAGAAAAAGTGTCCAACTTTACAGCCCTTTTTGTGAAGTGCTCAGTCATAGGCCATGGGCCTGGAGGCAAGGGCATGAAGCCCCTTCACTGCACTGCTGCTGCTAGAATGAAAGTCACCAATCTTAGGCACCATTTTGCCTCCTCCGACGCCCTCGCCACTGTGATTCTTCGCTGGGCCTTGCCAATGCAGACGCCACTAATGCCATCGGATACCGCACCAGCGCAAACTCAATTCCGCTGCCGCCAAACGTGTCCACTTTGGGCCCACCCCACCGATGCAGCCGCTGCTGATGTCACCATGTCTCATACTGGGCCCAAACTCACCTCCACAGCAGCAGCGACAAGTCAGCGCTAGGGCCATCTCATCGAGGTAGAAGCTGCCGGGCACTGGGCTCACTTGAGTCCGCACTGGGCCTACTCGAGTCTGCACTGGGCCTACTCGAGTCTGCACTGGGCCTACTCAAGTCTGCACTGGGCCTACTCGAGTCCACGCTGGGCCCACTCGAGTCTGCACTGGGCCTACTCGAGTCCACGCTGGGCCTACTCGAGACCACACTGGGCCTACTCGAGTCTGCACTGGGCCACTCGAGTCAGAACTGAGTCCACTTGAGTCTGCGCTGGGTCTACTCGAGTCTGCACTGGGTCTACTCGAGTCCATGCTGGGCCGACTCGAGTCCGCACTGGGCCTACTTGAATCCGCTCTGGGCCTACTCGAGTCCACGCTGGGCCTACTCGAGTCCGCACTGGGCCCACTTGAATCTGCTCTGGTCCTACTCGAGTCCACACTGGGCCTACTTGAATCCATTCTAGTCCTACTCGAGTCCACAACGCTGGGTCTACTCGAGTCCGCACTGGGCTTACTTGAATCCGCTCTGGGCCTACTCAAGTCTGCACTGGGCCTACTCGAGTCTGCACTGGGCCCACTCCAGTCCGCTCTGGGCCCACTCGAGTCCGCGCTGGGCCCACTCGAGTCCGCGCTGGGCCTACTTGCTAACTGCCCTGGTTCTGCACTGGATTGGGCCTACTCACTAATGTTGCCGACACAACCGAGCTCTTAAACAAGAAGAACATAAAATAAAAGAGAGAAAGAAAAAAAAAGAGAAGAGAGAGAAAAAATGAAATAGGAAGAAAAGCAGACGGAACAAACAAGCCCTGGTCTCAGAAGCCCTACACTGCATACATCCAATATCTGGTCTTGAATGAGCTGACATCGTCTTCAATTAAATATTGGCGAGACCAGTGCCCTTGGTCCTTGCACAATTTCATTGTTGACCTATAAGTGTCTCCTGCCTTCCTGACTCAGTTATTATTCAGTGCTGATTGAGGTCACTCACAACCAATGGTACCCAATTTGATCTTGAGTTGATCTTCGGGTCCCGTCTTCTCTTGTTCTCAAAGCCCATCTACTTCCGCAGGACCACCAGCTGTCTTCACTGTTGCCTGAGCTCACTTGCTACCAATTCTGGTCCATGTTTTTCTTATCATCAGACACAACCATTCCAGTTCCTTCCTGGCGAGTGTCCTACTCTTTACAAGCTTTCAAGAAGCTGTCTGTCCCTCACATTCTGGTCATAGAGTCATAGAGTTATACAGCAAGGAAACAGACCCTTCGGCTCAATGTGTCCATGCCAAACTGGTTTCCTAAACTGAAATAGTCCCATTTATCAGCATTTGGCCCATATCCCTCTCGACCTTTCCTACCCATGTACTTGTTCAAATATCATTTAAATGTTGTAATTGTACCAGCCTCTAACACTTCCTCTGGTAGCTTGTTCCATATATGCACCACCCTCTGTGTGAAACAGTTGCCTCTCAGGTCTCTTTTAGATCTTTCCCCTCTCACCCAAAACCCATGCCCTCTAGTTTTGGACTCCCCTACCCTGGAGAAAAGACCTCAGCTGTTCACCTTATAAATGTCTATAAGGTGACCCCCTGAGCCTCCTTCACTTCAGGGATAAAATTCCCAGCCTATCCAGCGTCTCCTTTTAACTCAAACCTTCCAGTCTCGGTAACATCCTTGTCAATCTTTTTAACACCCTTCCCAGTTTAATAACATCCTTCCTATAGTAGAGCAGCCAGAATTGAACGTAGTACTCCAAATGTAGCTTTACCAGCGCCTTGTATAGCAATAACAGGATGCCCCCAACTCCTGTACTCAATGCTCTGAACAATAAAGGCAAGCGTGCCAAACATCTTCTTCACCACCCTGCCTACCTGCAATGCCACTTTCAAGGAACTATGTATCTGCCACCCTCGGTCCCTTTGTTTGGCGATACTCCCCAGGGCCCTACCATTAATTGTGTAAGTCCTGCCCTGGTTTGCCTTACTGAAATATGACACCTCACATTTATCTAAATTCAACTCCGTCTGACCTGGTCACTTGTGTCTCCCCCATTTGTCACTCCAACAAAAGTGAGCAGGTCTTCCAACCATAATCTTCGAGGTTCCTTCCCTAACCCTCTCCACTCCATTTCTCACATTAAGACTCAGCTTAAAATTTATCTCTCTTACAAAATTCTAGGTCAACTTCTGCTTTCCTCTGTCACCCACAACCTGATTATGCTGCTTTGAAGAGTTTTGGGTTGTATTGAAAAAAAATTAGACATTCTCCTTTGTTGATGTGGCACTCGGTCTGATCTCAATAACCCCTTTAGAATGATCTGCCATTGCGACTTATTGGATAATTCCTTTCATTATATTCCAACTCCAAATTTCTTCCTTTTTTCCTTCCAATCCAGTGGGACTTTATGTTACTGACAACATGCAAGGTTCCTGTCAGAAAACAGCTCATCGCTCACCTGCACTATCCACTTGATTCATCTCTGAATGCAGGTGACCCCTAATAAGCCTCTCAACTTACTTCAGACACATTTGACAAGCAGGACTTACTCATTAAGATCGGGAGTCGAGTTGGTCTCATATCGACGGTCCCAGGGGCTTGTCAGAACTCAAGAAAAAGTCAGCAACAGCCTGGTCTCTGCAATTTTGAGAGCTTGTGGTTGCACAAGCCCTTGAGTAAACTAATGTTATCACGATGCAGGAAGGAAACTGAACTCAGTGTATAATTGGAGACAACAACGTGCAGGGCTGGATGAACACAGCAGGTCAAGCAGCATCATAGGAGCAGAGAGGTTGACGTTTCGGGCCTAGACCCTTCATCAGAAAAGGGGGAGGGGAAGGGGGTTTTGAAATAAATAGGGAGAGAGTGGGAGGCGGATAGAAGAGGGATAGAGGAGAGGATAGGTGGAGAAGAAACAAACAGGTCGAAGAGGCGGGGATGGGGCCAGGAAAGGTGAGTGTAGGTAGGGAGTTAGGAAGGGGATAGGTCAGTCCAGGGAGGACGGACAGGTCAAGGGGGCGGGATCTCTTCATCTCCAACTGCCGTCGAGACATCAATCGCCTCAACCTCTCCACCCCTCTCACCCACTCCAACCTCTCCCCCGCAGAACGTGCAGCCCTCCGCTCCCTCCGCTCCAATCCCAACCTCACCATAAAACCTGCGGACAAGGGAGGCGCAGTTGTAGTATGGCGCACTGACCTCTACATTGCCGAGGCCGGACGCCAACTCTCCGACACCTCCTCCTACCGCCCCCTTGATCAAGACCCCACCCCTGAGCACCAAACCATCATCTCCCAAACCATCCACAACCTCATCACCTCAGGTGACCTCCCACCCACGGCCTCCAACCTCATCGTTCCCCAACCTCGCACTGCCCGCTTCTATCTCCTTCCCAAAATCCACAAACCTGAATGCCCTGGTCGACCCATTGTCTCCGCCTGCTCCTGCCCCACCGAACTGATCTCCAACTATCTCGAC